TATAAGGTAATTTTTATCTTCCTTTTTCCATATTTGCTGTGTTTTCGGATAATATTTACGGAAAATAATAATAATAATAATAATAAAACTCTCAATTAAATTACAAATTTAGTCTCTCAATTTTGACTGGCCTAACTACATGTGTCTTGACCTATTGCAGGTTATGTTTAGAAGTAATATATTTTTTTATGAAATGTGTTGAGATATCAATTTTTTTTCATATATCCGTGAGTGTTCGGGTCAGTTTTTGCGCACTGATTTGATGGAACAACCACTTGACCCTACAATATTTGGTGCCGAAAACACATATTAATGACTAATTCTTGAGGTAGGTGGTCATCCCGATTTGAACTCATTCCCTCTTAATTTATATATTTATATTACATTTACCCAACACATCACATCACCTTAACATGATATTAAAGCGAGGTGTTTGTGTTTGAAACTTTGCATTGTTATTTCCTCCCTATTTAAAATAATTTTCACTTTGTTCAACCTTGTTCAATTATCCAAATCCACAAGTGACAGAGAGAGTGTTAAGATATCATAATTTTTCCTACTTAAATATTATTGGTTAAGTATTCATCTTCATACTCAAGCTGACCACTAATAAAAACTCGATAATTATTTAATCATTTTGAGAGATAGAAAAGATATATATCTTATAATTCTCAAAAGAGAACAAAAGGTATAGTTCTACGAAAAAAGGGGAAAAAAGAGAAAAGAAAAAACTCGTAGCTATCTATTAATTCCACTAGTCAAAACTATTGATTTGATCACGGGTACAAATTTAAGATTATAATGGATCATTTAAAAAGTAAAACATAAATCTCAAGACTCTCGACTCTGTATGGATGGCAGATGTTGGAAAAATTAAATTATCCTTCGTCATAAAATTTAAGAACAATCCAAACCAAGGGATCTAAGTATGGAAGAAAATCAAAATCAATGGAGATGTTAGAATTACCCAAAACCATTAGGTAGATTGACCATGAACTATAGTTTAACTCAGACATAATAGGGGCAATTCATATGAAGTAATTATTAAATTAATTCCAACAGTAGAAACTATCAAGCCTTTTTATTTTTGTCTCGATTCCAATGCAGCTTTTCTTACTGTTAACGTCCCCTACTTCTAAATTAAAAGATTTTTTTTTTATAAAGATAACTTGCCTACATCTTTTAAAAAACATACGCTTACTAATAATAATGAAAGAGCTTATTTCTTCGAATATCCTATAAATAAGTTAGAGACATGAATATAGTTTAATAGTTAATGAATATTTACTTCCTACAATATTATAAATTTAAATTACAACCATTATTTATGATATGATAACGGTGGAAAAAGTTAAATGTTAAAATTCAATCAGGGACCTAATTAAAGGTGTGATAGGAAAAATTAAATATATCATATAGATTTATTTTAGTACAACTTTTAATCTTTAAGGTAATTCTCAAATTTATTGTTTATGTATTAGAATTTTCAATTATGTATATATATATATATTTTACAAATCAATTATCTATGTTAAATTTGTTTACCAAATATATCAATAAATCACACTTTTATTAACACTAGTTAGTATCACGTGCATTTGTACGTGGTTATAAACATTTTAATATAATATTTCTAATAATTTAACATATAGAATAAGAACTCAAGAGAACTTTTAAATGTACTAATATTTTGTTTCAAATAAAATATATTTAATATAATATTTCTATCAATTTAACATATAAAATAACAATTCAAGGAGCTTTTAAATGGTACTAATATTTTGTTTCAAATAAAATATATTAATATACAAAACATAAAAGAATGAGTAAATAATTTAAGAAAACACACAAAAAGATTATTGTCATATTCGTTGTCAATTTTTTTTAAAAGAATACAACAATAATCTTTTTGTGTGTTTTCTTAAATTATTTACTCATTTTTTTATCTTTTGTATATTATGTAATAAGGAAGAATGAACCAAAATTAAAGAATTGAAATTTGGGAAAGAAATTGAATACTGTGTACTGCCATGAAATAATTGAAAAAATGTGAGATAAAGAATCACATGGCCAGAAAAATAAAATAAGAACAATAGCAACCAAAAAGTCATATTAAGATAAATAAGAAAACTAATGCTAAAATATAAATCAAACGTGAAAACAACATTAACTAAATATTAAATCAAACTTGAAAACAATATTAACTCAATATTAAAACACGAAGGTATCATAAATATATAACTTAAAAGTAATCCACAAAAAAATTTAAAATAATCTAAAAAAAATAAAAGTTGAAGATAATACGAAGACATAATTTTGTTACGCTACCTCTTAATCGATTAAATATGTTTCTGGATTCTCAAATATTCTTTTGACATGGTTTAGTCTTCATTAATATTTTGAAAATGAGTTTTAGGTCATAGAAGAAGAAAACATAATCTTTCATTTTATAGATTACTTGTTCTGACACCTATACGTGGATAGAAGCATCTGTTCATCAAACGGTTACTTTTCATCGGATTAACTTCTCTCAACACACATTTTCACTCGAACTGTTACAACTCTTTTTGCATTAAACTCCTTGTTTGATCGAATGATCATAATTTTTTTGAATTTGTTATCTCAACAGACACTTTAATTCGAACAGTCGTGTCTCTCGTAGAAATTTGAAGGACAAAATAGATATGTATTTAAAAGTTGTGGGCAAGATGGGGAGGTAAAGATTCTCCTCCATAGTCCCATTTAGATATAGTATAGATATAGATATTTAGACACATAAACATGTCACTCAAATGTTGAAACTCATTTAGTTCATTAGTAGAACTCGACCCCAAATCAATAAAATTTATTTTTTAAAATGACATGTTTACTTATCTAAACATGCAATCAAAACAATAACTTAACGATAGATTAGTTGTTTTAGTTAATAAAGTTGTCGAATCCCCAACCCAATTAAGAATCGAATCAACTTTTATATTATTATTATTTTTCTTTGGACAGAAATCGAATCCACAATTATCAAAAGATATTTTCCATATATTAAAATTAACACGCAGAAAAAACAAAAAAAAAGAGAGAGTATCTGGCTCAGTACGTGGCTCCGTAATTTCCCCTCGCAATCTCAATGTTAGTTTAGCTGTAACACACAGAAACAAGAAGAAAAAAAAAAGCTACAGAAACCAGAGAGAGATTCATATACTTTTTTGATTTGATCCTCGATGTTGATTAACAATCTATAATTTTCTTCACTTTCACAAATCGGTGCCGCAGAAACCTGAACAATGTCTTTGATTTCTCTGCAACTCACCCCCTCCATTTCCCCACCATACCCCCACCGCAATCTCCGCCTTCACAGGCCCCTAAATCTCCGCCTCTCGCCGTCGAAGACCCCCAGATCCGTCGCCGTCCGATCAATTCAAGGAAATGAGGAACACCCATCTCCTCCTCCGTTGCAGAAACCCTCCGGTTTCGACAATTTCCTTTCCACGGCGGCGAGTTTGTACCCTCTCTATGTGACCGGTGGCGGCATTGTTGCTTGCTTGAAACCGTCGAGTTTTTCGTGGTTTGTGCAGGGAGGGCCCGCTTCGTATAGCTTGTCTCTGGGTTTGATTATGTTGGCCATGGGGCTTACTCTGGAGCTCGAGAATTTGTTCAATTTGTTTATGCAGAGGCCCCTTTCAGTGAGCTTTTCTTGAATTCCTCTTGAGTTTTTTCTTGCTACAGACTGTGTTGATTTTTTGGGGGGTTTTCTTGCTGATTTGATGGGTGAAGTTGGGGATTGCTGGTAGTTTTCGTAATGCTTGATGATTATGAGTTTGTTGCTTCGTTTTGATGGTCAGATATTGTTTGGATGTGTTGCCCAGTACACGATTATGCCGGCTGCCGCAGCCCTCATCGGAAAGTTTCTCGGGCTTCCGCCCTCGCTTTCGGTCGGATTGATCTTGCTTGGATGTTGCCCTGGAGGGACTGCCTCCAATGTGGTAATGTCCAGCTCTGTTTCTTATCTGTCCTGTTTTCTCAATGCTGAATCTCATTAGTCTAGTTGCTTGGTTAAATCGTTGTTTGCTAACTTCCTTGAGTGCTTTTAGAAGAAAGAGATTAGTGGGCGAAAATGTATTAATCAGGGAAACTAGTGAGAGAAGGTGTGTAATAAGAGAGTGATTAGTGAGAGTAAATACACGTGTGGAGAGAACTAAGCGAGAGAAAATGTGCTATTAAGAGAACTTGTGTGGAGAAAGGGTGAAAAGGTATGTGTGGAGAGAAGTTAGTGAGAAAAGGTATAGGTAGAGAGGAGTGGGGGTGCAGGCTGAAACCATAAAAACCGACAAAACTAACCGAATCAAGTCAGTTTGAACTATACTTTTTTGGTCGGATTGGTTTTCTAAAGTGTACAACTGAGAATTGTTGGTGGGTTTGGTTTGGATAAGTTTTGTCGGGTTTAGTCGAGTTGGTTTGGTTTGTCAAGTCGGTTCGGCTTTCAAAAAGTGTCTTTTTTCTTTTTGTGCCAAAACTTGACTCGAACCGAATTGAAAGCGTTTACCTTTAAAGAAAGTCGAGGGAGAAAAGTGTGGATCAACCATCAACGGTAAAATGTTAGTAATTGTAAATAACCTATCAATTGCTTTTAAAAATTACTCTTTTTACGAGTGCTTTTGACATTTTTAAAGAGTACTTCTAATCAATCAATAAGGCTTCTAGGAAAAGAAAAAGTTTCACTTTCACTTGTTTGAATGGCACAAGGAATCTTGAGAAGTTGGATCTGAATGATAAACTGCTGTGTTTAAAGACTCATCTCAGCGAAGTATCATGAAAAAGTTTATGAATGCTATCATCGACTGGATTATATTTTTTACTACACATCCTTAATCACAATTAGTTGATTGCTTAAGCTTTCCGTTCACCGTTACTTCAATCCAATAGTATTTCAGGTAACCTTAATTGCTCAAGGCGACGTTCCTTTGTCTATTGTAATGACAGTATGCACAACTCTCGGAGCTGTAATTCTCACTCCCTTCCTGACAAAAACACTAGCAGGAGCCTACGTTCCCATCGATGCTGCAAAGCTCTCTCTCAGTACCCTTCAGGTGAAATTTTGTTCTCATTTGTCGTCGTACTGCTGTGCTTACGCATGACTTTACATTTTGAATCATCATCGTCATCTTCTTTCTTGGCTAGGTGGTGGTAGCTCCTATTCTGTTTGGTTCTTACTTGCAGAAAGTATTTCCTTCGCTAGTGAAATTGGTGATACCATTTGCACCACTTGTTGCTGTATTAACTTCGTCGCTGCTCGCTTGCAGGTTTCGATTTGTTTGTCAATGATCATTGTTTAGCTTTATCATCCAAAACTCGATTAAAAGTCTGTTACTCTTGTCTCGCCCTCCCACACACCTTTTACTGATTCTTTTTGTTGATCAGTGTCTTTTCAGAGAATGTCGTTCGTCTGAAATCGTCAATGGTTAGCGCAACGTTAGCTTCTGATGCATCTCCATGGATTGTTCTAAAAAATATAATATCCGGAGAGTTGGGTGTCGTAATACTTTCGGTGTTTCTATTACACTTTGCTGGTTTCTTTGTCGGGTAAGTTGCATCTCCTCCTCCTTTATCAATAAATATACCGTTGCTCGAATGATAAAGCTTAACGGAAAACTTGACGATACAAGGGTGCGTTTGTTATGCCTCTTAAAATATTAACCAAACTCCACTTTAAAAGGCATGTCAAACACTCACTAACATAAATCACTAGAGATTACTCGAGCGATCAATCAATTCTCATAACCAGAGCTCCAAAACAAACGATACCTTTGCTCCACGAAACCCCATCTTGTTTCTCTAATGCCAATCGTCATTAACTTCTTTTGATTTGCAGCTATATTGCAGCCACCATCGGCGGGTACCGGGAGCGAGAACGGAGAGCTATATCCATCGAGGTACCAGAACCGTCTCGTTCATGTACTGAGTAACGAATCAATATATATTTATGTACGATTAAGAGGGACTGGTTTCGATTCAGGTTGGGATGCAGAATTCATCACTGGGAGTTGTTTTGGCAACCTCACATTTCAGTTCAACAATGGTGGCATTGCCCCCAGCAATGTCAGCTGTGATAATGAACATTATGGGGAGCAGTCTTGGATTTTTTTGGAGACTTATTCAACCTTCTGACAAAGAAGAAACCAGTGCTGCTGCCGCTGCCGCCAAGTGAAAATCTTGTCCTTGATGTATCTATTAGTCTTGTTCCATAAATGAGGAAACTGTATATTAGTTCTTTAAATTCATTGCCAATTTTACTCATTTTTTCTTTTAAACTGTTTTTCAATTAAGTGGAATTGGATAAGTAGAGTGACATGTCTATAAATAATAATGAAATAATATTTTGATTTTTTTTTTACTACTACTATTTTGATTCTTAATTCTGGTACATGTACTCTCAAATCGAATATTCTTATATTTTTGATACATGTACTTTTTGAATTATTTATTTTGATATTTGTACTTTCAAATGGATCATTTTATTTTATTTTATTATTTTATTATATATATATATATATTTTTTCTTTTTGTTTTGTTGAAGAAGGGGCTATTTTAGTCACTATTTAAAACATTTTAACAAAAAAATTTATAAGGAATAAAATCCTTTAATATGGTGTCGGTGTTTAAATTGTGATAAAAAAAGGAAAAAATTTGACTATTTTTAAAAGTAAAGAGACCAAAACGGTATTTAAAGTAAAAGAATTACTATTTTTTAATACAAGATGTAAGATAGGAGATTGAACTCACAACTTTGACGATATATTTCAATTATCGTTGAGTTATCAGAACTCGTCTGGTAACATTTTCGTTTCTTGTTTACAATTTTCTTAAGAAATTTAAACATTTTACCTGCTTCTTATTTCTTATTTTTTTAGATCATTCTCACCGAACAATATTAAAAATAAAGAAACAAAACAGTTACGTTACCATACGGCACTAAATAACTTTAATATTTACTGCTGGGCAAAAAAGATGGTGGTCTGCATTCATCAGAACTCTTGAATTCCCGCCTCCGTTCGGCTTCGATTTACCCTTCCAAATTCGCCATTGAATAGTTTTCTCTTCCTCACACTTGTGAAGGCCAAACACCAGAGCTTCATGGCGCACCGGTAGGCCATCTCTCTCTCTTCGTCTTTGCCGATTCGATTAAGCTTTTGTTTGTTTGTTGCGCTATCACTAGTGATTTCGATCGTATTCTTCGTTGTTTATCTGCCAATTTGATATGTTCTGTGGTTTCTGCTGAGTTTTTAGTAAGAAAATTTAGCCTGCTGCTCAAATTCTTCTATTCTTGCCCATTGAAACGCCCCTTCTCCCTTTCTATTATTTCTTGATCCTTTCAAGATGTTTCCAGTTCCCACGGGTTGATGATTGAAGAGCATTTTCTTTCTATATGAGACTGTTACGAGGTCGTGAAATTGCTGTAACTCGAAGATTCTGCATTTTTTTTTCCTTTGCAGTAGAACCAATTCATTGTCCACCTTCTTCTTCTTCATGAATCTTCGTTGCCTTCGATTATTCGATATTTAGGGGCCCTATTAAGTGTGTCTCGGCTCTTGTCCAATTTAGTTATCCTAGCCCTAATTTTCAGCCATTTCTACACATCCAGAGCTGTCCCCCATTGAAAACAACCATTTATTTTAGTTCTCATTCTCACCAAACAAGATAGGGGCTTAGACGAACAATACAATTTCATTTATGATTCTCCGCAGTACTAGAATCCCTTATCGTTTGAGCCAGACCCGTGGATTTGTTGATGCAAAAGTCAAATGGGTTAGAGATCCGTACCTCGATTTTGCAGTTCAAAGAGAAAAAAACCTCAGACAAGTAATCTCCCTTAAGAATCTAATCGTTTCGAATCCTTCAAAATCTCTTCCACTTTCCTCTGTCTCTTTGTTGAAACAGAACCTCAAAGTTCCCACAACCACTGTCTCTAAATTCTTCCAATTATACCCCTCTGTTTTCACCCAATTCCAGCCTAGTCCTGGCCTCCATCCTCTTGTCAAGCTCACCCCACAAGCTCTAACTCTCCACAAGGAAGAATCGACCATTCATAACTCTCAACCACATAGAGATGATGTCGTGAAGAGGTTAGCGAAACTACTGATGCTCACAGGAGCTGGAAGATTGCCTCTATATGTCATTGAGAGGCTGCAATGGGATCTGGGTCTGCCCTATAAGTTCATTCCAACTCTTCTTGCTGATTATCCTGAATATTTTCAGGTTTGTACTGTGAGAGACTGTTCAACAGGTGAACAAACTCTTGCATTAGAGATTCTTTCTTGGAGGAAAGAGCTTTCAATCTCTGAATTGAAGAGGAGGGAGTGCCCGGATGGCAATGTTTGGAGCAGGAAAGGAAATCACATTGCATTTCCAATGAGTTTGCCACAGGGTTTTGATTTCGAGAAGAAGGTGATGAATTGGGTGGAGGAGTGGCAGCGCCTGCCCTACATTTCGCCCTACGAAAATGCATTCCATCTAGCACCAAATAGCGATCAAGCTGAGAAATGGACAGTGGCAGTTCTTCATGAGCTGCTTTACCTTCTGGTCTCGAAGAAAACCGAAAAAGAGAACATCTTCTGCTTGGGAGAGTATTTGGGGTTCGGTTCTAGGTTCAAGAAGGCCTTAGTTCATCACCCTGGTATCTTTTATGTCTCAAACAAGATTAGAACACAAACTGTGGTTCTTAGGGAAGCTTATAGGAAGGACTTTCTGGTGGAAAAGCACCCTTTGATGGGCATGAGGCATCAGTACATTCACCTAATGAACAAAGTTGTAAGAAGACCTAGACCAGGCATTATATTAGCTTCTTCCAGAGGTAAAAGACAGAATAATCCATATTCCAATAAAGAAGCTCAAGGAAGGATGAAGCAGGACTGAAAGAATCGTCCATGCGAGTGACCGAACTGCAAAATAATGCATGTGATGAATGAACTATACCATAAAAGCCTACGTGAAGTGATATGGTCTGATTGCTATTGAATTTTTTTTTTCTCTTGAAGGTTGTGGTTGCATCCTAAGAGATCATAAGGGAAATTATTTTCTTGCAGAGGCCTAGTTGACATTATGGAGAATGTGAATTCCAGCTACTTAATTACGCAATTGCAGTTGTAGGCATTCTCAAATACCATATAGTTTAAGTTCTAGCTTATTTTCCACATCAGTGAGGAGAATGAATGTGGGAAGCAACGACGAATTAACATGTGCAGAATTTTGGTTAATTATATAAATTAGTAGTCCCTAGTGTTTGGGTTGTTTTTCAATTTCATATATGATGTTTATAACATTTTAATCTGATCTCTTTTATCTCTTATGTGTTTTGTGTTTTCTTTTTCCGATTGAAATTATTTACTCTTACAAAATGTAACAATTTAGCAATAGAATGATGATATGACTGTCAAAATACATTTTATTAACTAAGTTCGCATCAAGAAAACCAAACTTCTTTCCATTTATACGACTTTGACAAATAAGGATATGTTGTTACTAGCAACAAATAGTTAGAAACAACAAAGAAAAACTAGGCCTATATTCATTCTGTCATCCTTTTTGCAAGTGATGATGGTAAGAATTTGACTAATAAAACAAAGATGAAATCGAAATTTTTTAAAAATTAAAGGACAAAATTGATTACAATTATAATATTAATAATGTGCTTTCTTCTCATCTGTCATCCTCCCTCCAAATATTATTTTTTCATGAAAAAAAAGAATGAAATATTACAAAAGAACCCAAAAAAAACCAGTCCATGGGAGCCAAACGAAAATAATAGAATCCAATATAACAAAATCAAACTTAAAGAGTAAGTACAAAAGGCTATGGATATTGAAGTCTAAAGGAAACATAAAACTAAGCAAGAACAAAAACGTCCTCCTAAGATTTCTCAACCCTTCTCAAGATCATCACATCTAGTGAAGTTTTCTTTAAAATACACAACCATATGGTCGTCTCAACAGAAGTTTATAATTCATCATTGGGTAAACTTCCAACATTACAGTTCGGTAAAGTTCCTATTCAGCCAGATCCCACAGGTGACTAAAAAGACACCACAGGTAGAAAGCTACAACAAAAGAGGAAAGAGATTTAAATCAGCAAAAACAGAGGCTAGTTTCTATAGAATTGTTATTATGCAATGAAGAGCTGCTAGTGTAATGCAATCTAAAAGTACATGGTCCACTACCCTGATAATCAAAATTTCCAATGAAATCAGGTAACCCAGCTGAGCTCCGAAACAACACTAGAAAGCCAGGTGAAGAAGAGGCCAGTTCTTGATTGGGAAAGGACCGAGTCATTAACGAGTGCGGCTCATCTTTATCTTTGGCATTGCTTTCTTCATCTGCTTGGCACGGTCTTTTGCCTCCTTCCGTCGAAGAGCCTCAGCACTTAACTTGGCCTCAGCCTCTTCCATCAGTTTCTTCTTCTGTGCCTTCCTCTTCTGCAGGGCTTCTTGCCTGGCATTTTGAAGCTCTCTGTATGCCTCTTGAGCAGCCTTCGACCTGGCAGCTTCGGTTTTTGACCGGGCCTGCATGAGCAACAATTAGAATTTAGAAAAATCGGAACAAAGTTCTTAGGTTGGACTATTGTAAATGAACTTTACCTGAGAACTGAGCTTATAGCGTCCAATGGCATCGATGTAATAGGGTACAAGAGCTACCAGACGAGAAATATCTGCCATGTTATTGGCATCTGGGAGGGCAAACTTGAATAGAAGCATCTTCTTGTGCATGCCCGGAAGCTGATCAGAGAAGTGCATCAAGATGAAATACTTCCCAAATTTCTCAAAAGATTTTTCGCCAAAAACCTGTAGAAATCAACTAAACTTTTAATTTCCACGTTCAGGGAAAAGAAACATACTGAAAGTTTTGGTTATATCTTTCTATCAGAAAATGTTGCCCACCTCAAGATACTTAAAACATTTTCGACGCTTTTCAAAGAATTTTATTATTTATTTCCTGTCCTGATTCCTACCAATAACATGACATAAAGCTGAAATTGTACACCAGAAGCACAAGCACTCTTTATTTGTATTTGCCCTACCTCCAAAACTTTCTTGGTTCGACAAAGAATATGCATCGCTAGGAAAGACCAACGAACAATCAATAAACCCTAAACCCTAAATCCTAGACTTTAAAACGTCTCCAAGATCCCCTAAAGAATATGAAGACAATATTCAATCCCCAACCCAACAAAATCAAGAAAATCCCAAAAGAAACCAAAAAGATGGCAAACATGATCCATGACAAGATACAAGACATTACATATTGTGCAACACCCCATGAACCATTTGCAATCAGGTTTTGGGACGAAGACCTCACCTCACCTAGAAGCCCCCTTTGTTCTAATTCTAATTATTCCAAACTCTTCTATCTTCACACTGGCAGATTTGAGCCTCAATCAGACATCTGCTAGGGCCCTATAGTCTCACTCTATCTCCAACAAACTCGTAACTTTGATGTTCCAGTAGAGAGTCTCAATACCCCACAAATCACTTATTAACTCCTCTTGTTGCTAAAAGCATAAATCAGGGGGAACTGCAACAAAACTGGCTGGCCACAAAAGGCTCCCTCTCTCATGCAAAAAAATATCAAATGAGGCATCCCCAATCGATAAAGGGCACTGCCAAAAAAGTGATATGGTTCTAATCCTCATAAGCACTGCTAGAACTTCTTTGAATAGTGTCAATGGTTTCAACTTTCAAAGCTTCGGAAAAAGGGAGATGCAAACCTCCAAAGATGCCTATAGAATCAAGAGCCCAAACCCAACAATCATTTTCAGCCTAAGAATAAAAATCTAATGAACGTTGAAAGAGCAGAGTGACATAAGTGGTTGTAATAATATCCCTTGATGCAAGCGAACTGATTCATACAACTCAATTCTTCCCATGATCTAACCATAAAATTGATAAACCACATTTCACCACAAGGCAAAGTAAAATAAATAACTGAAGCAAAAAACAGCCAAAATATAAGGAGACCAGCAATACCTGTTAAGTAAAATGTCATTTAACAAGAACAAAACAACACTATGGGAGTCATGTGAAAAAGAGTGACAAAAAGTTACCAACCTGGTCAAGAACGGCCTCTGTGATCAAATCAGCAGCAACTTCCTTCGATTCTGAAATAACACTCAACTCTTCGGGCACCCATTTTCTGCCACTGGGAGGGGTCAAAATCCCAGCAAATCTTTGCAAATCCTTCAAATCCTTTTGCATTCCTTTGGCAGCTTTCTTCCTAGCCACCGCAAAGATAACATGATCCATCGCATCATCGTTCATATAGACCTCGAAGCTAATTTCATCCTTACACGGCACCACCATATTATACAACCTCGAGATCAAATCGTGTCGGCTCTTCAACTCCATTGTTGCCAACAACCCTTGGCAATACCTTCGCCCACTAGCATAGAATTTGAAGACATTCTGTCCCTCTTTCAATAGCAAAGGCGAGTCATCGCCTTCCCCCACACCCAACAGACTAAAGTTCTTCTCGAAAATGGAGTCCTTAGTCGCGAATTTCGCAGCCCACGAGAGCGCGATGTTCTCGTTCTCGCGCTTCCCAGTAAAATAGTTGATCACAAAAATCACCAAGAAAGATCCGCATATGATTTCAATAGTATACGACTTCGGAGCACTCGCAGGAATCGGAATCGGAGAGGTAGGTTTTGGATCAGAGTTGGGATTGGCGGAGGCTGAATCCTCCGCAGATTTGGAGCTCTCTTGCGCCGGTTCTCGTGGCTGTTCAATCGGCAATCCTTCGAATTCGTCCTCGTCCCAGTAATTGAAGGTAGTCGGAGACGGCTTCGGAGAATCGGAGACGGACTGTGGAGATGGAGGATCCGACGGCTCGTCCACCGGATCCTGTGCATCGGAATCGTGATCCTGTGAAGAAATTCCGGCAGGCTGTGGCTCCGACTGTG